AACAGCTTAAGCATGTAAAGGCAACTTCACTTCTTTAATATTAATGAAAAATAAAGTGACTCTTACAATACATCTTGTTTGTTTCTATACTCACTATTAAAACAAACCACTCAAGTTTATTTTATTAAAGATTCCACTAGGTGGCAACAAATTATATTGTTGGATGAAACGTGCTTACGTATGATGACGTAAGCACGTATGATGACGTAAGCACGTTAGGGCGAGCCCTCCCGGAAGCCATAGAGAATGCATTGCAGCGCCCCCGTTCGAAAAAAAAACATCTTTGAATGTAAGTCTATGGGAACACACGGGGCGATTCTAAGCTGGAGGGAAATCGCCCAAAAAGAGGCGGTACTCCACAGAACGTAGCATGACGCTGATTGGACTATATCCAGAGGCACAGTGACGGCTAGCGTGACTCTGTGGTTGAATGACATTGGTGGTGCGTCGCCCAATCGCCCCAATGAAGAAACCGCCCCTGGTTGACAATATATTTGCTCTCTCGTGATTTTTTATTTAAACAAAATCTAAAAACTAATGCTATTTTGTATTTTACCTGGTAAGGCTCACTGAGCTATATTGCTCTTTTTCAGAAGCGACCTGGCCACAAATGATCTTACAATGAAGTGACTTATCATCATGTGGAATTGTATATATTGTAAACGCGTGGTGACGTTGATTCTAAATGTGGAGAGAACAACCGTAGGACCCAGAGAAACATCCACGCGACCACGGGGAGAGAGACACGCATAATTCAAATATACAACAGGTGTCTGGGCCGCCATCGAACCCACGACCTCCTGTATACCAGGCAAGGTAGTTAACATCTGGCTGTGGTCTTTAAGGGACCAATGGGGTAAATCTCCCTGTCTCTGTGAGTTAGTTGAAGTAAACAAGTACACATGTTCGTGTATTATTTAACATCATTATCATCAACCATGATTAATCCACTGCTGATTGAAGGCCTCCCAAAACCGTCACCATCTCACGGTTGCATACCTGTCAACCCCTTATCAGTCCCATACCTTATTACAGATCAATTCAGACCTTATTAGTCACCCCGTGCCATTATAAATCTCAACGTTCATCCTACAAAGTCACATCACAAGGGAGAAACGCAAACAAATAGACAAAAATAACGTTTTTTTGCCCGGATTGAAACAGCCGTGCGCGGTATGGACCTGAAACCTCAATTTCCCTGTACAAGAATGCAATGAAACCGTATGGGTTGACAGCTATGCAGTACTCCAGTATTATGACCCAAAACGCATCTGTACACGAACTGATTTCATTGCTCCATCTCCTCAGCAAATGTCCTCTCGGATGTGTTCCGTTGCTTGGCTGCCATATCCCTTCATTAAACTTGACCTTTGACCTTCATCTCTTCCATTGATGCGTCCTGCCCAAGCCCACTTAGAATTGTCTTTAAACTGCACATGCTCTCCAATGTACATGTTGCTCTTACTGTATCTCTATGGCAATTCCAATTAGTATGTTTATTGTTTATAATTAGTATTGTTCTCAATTTGTGTCAAAATGTAAAGTTAACGCGGTGCGCGCTGTTGTGGGAAGCTGTACGTGCTATACATTAGCAGGGCACAGATAAACTTGTTATCTGTCAATTTTACCGAATTGCATGTGTATCAGAATCAGAATACTTATGTATACTGGAAGAATCCAATGAGCTATAAAGCTCTTTGTTCATAGACGTTTAGTCGGGACGCGAGGTCAGAACGATACAACAGCAAACAACACGCACGTGACAGGAGCGCAAGTTATAGGAAAGGTAAAACACATCACTTGCAAAAAATATGCAAATGAAACTCAACTTTCATTTGATCTTACCAGGTAAAGCTCTGCTGAGTTTACTTTGCGACTGTTTCAGTCAAACGGCCCCTGACCTCCCCCCCCCACCATCACTCCACCGACCCGCATTGAGCGTTGACGTGAAGCGTGGTGAGGTGACCCCCCCGCCCCGACTCGCACGGCATGCCCCCCCCCATCGCTCAGCGGTGCCTCCACAAAGAGGCACGGCCGTCATTCGTAGCTTGTCAGCTGTGCACGCCCTTGTTAGCGCCGTTAATCGCGGTTGGCATTTTTAAAACCTCTCCGCAGATGGCTCCAGCAAGTGCCGGTTACCTGGCCTTCAAGCGGTCTGACATCCACGCAGTGGGGGGGGGGGGGGGGGGAGGCGGGGGAGGCATACACTCAGCGCCCAGATACTGGACGTTCGCGATGATGAGCGCTTAGAATTGTGGAAAATGTGTCTCCGTTGTGCAAAGCGCAGCGCGACACAGGGTTACTTTAGCCTTGAACCGACGTTTTAGTGCCTCCTAGCCCATTGTCGTGCAGTTTTCTTGTATATTGTCCCTCTGTAGCCTTGACCAGAGTGTATTCTGGCTTTGGGCATTGCTGTTCATCCCTTTGTCGTGCTGTTTTCTTGCATCTTTGTGCTCAGCAACCTTGATTAGAAGTGGATTCTGGCAACGGGGCACTTAGAATAGCGCTTGAGTGCACACCAGCTTTTAAAATAACTGGTTTGCATACCGGCAGCATTTTAGCCCTGTTCATGACCACATTCTCCTGGAGACGTCTGTTTTCGAGTAAAGTGTAGACCATTGTCAAAACGATTGGAGCCGAGGCAGAGAGAGCAGCAATGTCACGTGTAGCTGTTTTTGTTTAATCCGGCGCCTTGAGGAAAGTGTTTGAATGTACGTGCATAGACCGTTTGGCAGTCCACTGCTGGATGAGGGTCGTCTTCTCACACCGTGCAGGCAGTAAGGGTCATTTGACCATACTTCACCGCACTTGTCAGTGTGGTGTTGGTGACGTTGGGCAAAGTGTCACACAACAGTGGATTGTTTCTGCACTGCCCTCGACAACCCACAACACAGACTACAACCTGTCCATAGCATATGGTGGTCACCTATCCATCCAGCATACAGACTCAGGACTGCTTAGCCTCAGAGGTCTGATTGGCTTGGGTTCATTCTGTTTGACTTGGTCATAGACACCGATATATTAGTGGAGTTTTTATTGCATTGCCCCAAAGAAGCATTTTTTAAATGTTTGATTGAAAATTTCCTGTAAGTATTTTACTTGTCTAATATGATATGTAAAAGACAAAGATCCCCAGTAGAACCTAACAGTCTTTTGAGGCAAGTGATGTTGGCAAGCACCTTTGAAGGCTGGCACGGTACACAAGGGGGTGGATCGCCAGCACCACGCCCGACCGCCTTTGTCTCTCAAGTGGCGATTTTTACACACCGCATGAGGTACCGATTGAGGTTGAGTCGACCTGAGGAGTGGTGGCACAATGGTTAATGCAATGCGCTACAAAACAGATTACCTGCTCACGGCCAACACCGGTGACGATTATCTGAAATGATCCTTTAAAAAAGACACACGCACATATATGCCATTTTATATTTTACAAGATACCAGTGTAGATACATGTAAGCATTTCAGACACGTGTTGCATGCACATGCAGTCGAGTCATTCTGGTGCGCTAACACGCGGCAGCGTTGGCAGGAAAGGGAGAGAAAAAAAAACACAAGGCCAAAAAATATATATCTCAAAAAATGAAGTCTAATATACTGCAGAAATACTGATTTAAGTCCCGAAGCAACTGATGCGAAAGAAACAAAAAGTAAGCCAGTATGTGCGCTTGGGTGCCTCTAACTCGGTCACGGCAAATTAAGTGCTGGGATGTTGCCTTTATTCACATTTTCTTCTAATACTCACCCCCAGCTGGTACCCAGCTTGCAGTTCAATAGCGGGGCTTTGGAGCATGAAAAAAACACAAAAGCCATCACTGCACTTCCGTTCGCGGCTCTGCAGAGGTCTGATAGAGAATCGCACTCTTCATACGTGTCCTCCACTCTGTTTGTTTGTTCATATACCATAATGCTGGGATATTTAGTGGGTCGGTATTGCATTGCTGTAATTTGTTATGACGCTGGCTGTTTTTAATGTAAGGGATGGGAGAGATTGGCGTGGACGATTTGGCTGTTATTCTCGGCCAGCATGGCCTTGCCTCGACGGGAACTGGGCTCTTTTGATGTGCGCGCTCGAATGGGGTGACAGCATGAACATACTGGTTTAATGATTATCTTGTTACGTATTATATAATTTGTGTCAAAACTACGACCCATATATTAACGAAATGGTCCTTGCCTTTAACATCTGGCAGTTCACCAGCATTGATTCATCAAAGCCTGACTGCTCATGAGACAGTGTGTCGAAACCGGTTCAGAGTTTGTTTGTACCGAATCAATGCTGCTGAAGTTATTCACTCCCAGAAGGCAGTGGGCCCCGATGTGTTGCGTAAAAATACATTTCATTATTAATGTGGAGAGCTGGATATCTGCAGGAAACGCATTGTGAACGTATCTCCTAATGTCTTAAGAACGGTGCGTTTTATGATGTAGAAGCTGTTGTGTGTGTTGACTGTAGGTGTGCGTACCATAATATTTGCGGACACATGCGGTCTAAATGTACATTGTGCGGTAAAAAGTCAGATTTTCTCATTTCCTTGAAATCCAATTACAGTAGACACGATTACTTCAAGGACGACCCCAGGGAACGAGATAATTGAACTATTTCTATAACTTTTTAAAATATATAACTTTCTAAAGTAATTAGACTTAGCTTCTTAATACTGTTAAAAAGGTGTTTTCCTGTGTCTTATTATCCATGATGCAGTTGATGCATGTACATTTCCACAAAAACGGAGGCTAGGATGAACCGGGTGAATGAATCTAATCCTTTATTGTTCAGCGCTGTATCACAGATGGTCGTACGGTGCGGTTATCGGCAGCATTTATGAACATAGATTAATCTCGGGCATTAGCCATTGGATTTAAATGTAAGATTTCGGCAAGACTTTGAGCTTTGGTGGGTTTCATAATGCTTTTTTTGTTATTAAAATTATTATTGTTATTCATTTATTTTAACCCGTGGCCCCTTCTAAAACGTGGTCGCTGCTCCTGCGCCGAAGCCGCGCGCGTCCCTGCAGGTGCTGCGCTACGCGGAGGGGCGCACGGAGCCCTTCCACAAGCTGCTGCTGCGCGCGGACTCGGCGGGGCGCGTGGGCACCTGGCTCATCCCGGACGTGCTCGTGCCCAAGCACGACGGCTCCGTGCAGAGTGAGTGGCCGCTGCGCCCGAGACGGACGGCCACAGCGGACGTTATCATCATCGGCAGCAGCAGCAGTCATTATCTATCTACTGCTAGGTTGCTTCCTTGTGCGACCTCACAGTCGGCTCAGCTGCTGCGCGGCGAGCGTCGCTCTCGCTGTTTTCCTCACAGCGGTTTAAAATTTCTCCCGTATTGATTTTTGTTATGAATCACTTCTGCCTCTAAATTGTGCATTATTTAAACTGCTAATTATCATTAAAAGCCATGATCTACCCACCGCCGGATGAAGGCCACGCGAAGTCGTCGTCCCCCCTCACGGTGTGGTGATGCAGCACTGCCCATGTTGTTCTGGACATCTTGAGATGTGAGAAGGACCGACAGACATATGGTGAACTAAAAGCAAACTGAGGTTGTCCAGCAATTATACATCTTCTGTTTTTTTAAATACATTTTCTCCTGCACCTCCAGTCAACACTGATATCGGGCACGTGTTCCCAAATTCTCTGTTACCTGAAAAGAACACAAGTTGATAGAATAAACAATAACTTTGAATGCTAAATGTATGTGTATTTTGTAATTAACCACCTTAATATTATGCGTCATCCCGTGCTCAAGTGGTGTAATAGCCATCTATTAGTGTTTGCTCTCAGGAAACTCCCAGGAGTTGAGTTATCTATAATTAGCGTTTAGCTACTGTCTATTAGCTGCCATGTGATGTAAATGTAGCACTGCAGTGTGAGGGATGGTGGTGGTGCGTGGGGAGGCCTTCATCCATCAATGGATAGACAATCATCAATAACACTGCCCGAAAGAAAATAAATATTATGTTTTGACAAATTAGTTTTTATTATTTGTGCTTATGCACACTGCCAGTGCAGTATAACAAACATTGGAATAGTGACTGATGGTGGTGGTGGTGATGATGATGCTATCTAAAATTAAGCATATGTCGGGTTTTTTTTCAAGTTAGACCACATCATGTAAAAACGGAAAATTCCGGTATATGTTTAATTCTCTAAAGAATCTTGCCCCTAGCTGCATCACAAGTGGGTATTGCAGGTACGATGTTTATTGATGTACACAACGGGTTGTGCCCTCCTTAACATTCTTACTCCAGCGGCCGCTTTACAGAATGTATTCTCTGGTCACTGTTCGCCTTGCAACGCTTTCATCCCGTGGCCTCGTCTACGATGCATCGCCTCATTGCTCTTTTGTCTCGTGACCCTGCGTGTGATGTGCAATATTGCTGGCCTCTTGTTGCGCGGGCCGGCCCGTGTGATGCCTCGCCTCGCCATCCTTTTTGTGTTTCTCGGCCCCCACGTGACGGCTTTCCGCGGGCCCTCGTCCGCCGGTCCTCCGTCCGCAGAGCTGCCGGTGACTTCCTCCGGCAGCCTGCGCCAAGCATTCGAGGGGACCGCCTCCGACGCCGCGGCGGCGGAGGCAGCCTGGTCTGCACCAGGGGCGGAACACGCGGAGCGCACCGCCCTGGTGTACGCGGTGCCGCACGGCCTGCTGGCGTGCGGCTACTCCGACGGGCACATCCTCGTTTATCCCGCTGCTGCCATGGCCCTCACGCATTTCCTAGAGGGTGCCCGAGATATTGGACCAGGTATGGATCTGCGGAAAAATGTCACGTTTCTTATAACGGCACTGGATGCAGTGATTCAATCGATACGCAATGGTGCTTTGACTTGGCCAGGAAATTGCAGTACAGCAAGTGGGTTCATGAACCCATCTGCACTGACCTTTGAGTGCTAGTTATTCTCTGTTTGTGGGTTTTCTCCAGGTTGTACATTGTCCTCCCGCATGCAAAAACACTCCTTGAATTGGTATTGGTCAAACATACAAATCCAGTAGCCTCCTGAAAAAGAGTCTTGAGACTCAGTCTTTATAGATAAATACATTACATTTATTGTATTATACCTGATGTATAATATAATTCAAATACACAGTTGTTATGGGTGTCGTGCAATGTCCATCTCGAACTTCTAGCGAAATATTTTTTGCAAAAAAGCCAATAGCTCCTTATTATCTCTCATCTGTTTAAATGCATTTCAAGTGAACTACCAAAAAATGAATGCGACAGACAACAGCTCTGGAATCGAGCACTGTAAAGATTCTGTAATGAGCTGACAATTATTTACCCAAGGAAAGACTGGCTGAGATTCAAGAATTTGCCTTGGCATGTTTGGCCAAGACCAGGAAGCGGGGGAACCAGGCGAAGACACACCTCACATACGAGAGGGTGTTACTCGGCACTGTCATCTCTTGGCCACTGCATAGCCCTACAACACCTGGCAAGCCCCTCATGGTCACCCATCCAAGTACTAGCCTGGGTTAACCTTGCTTCACTTCCGAGATCTGCTGAGATTAGGTGAATTTAGGGTGATTTGGCGAGAGGCAAAATGTAAAAATGTTTAATATGCTTGGATCTTTTGTTTACAATGATAACACGTTGTGCAGTTTTGGAGCAGCGACCAAAATAATGATTTCCTCATCAGGACAACATGAAAAGAAATGTGCAATTTTAATTTAGCAGCCAAGTGAGGTGTTGGAGCATATGGTTTAGTCATCTCTTTGAAGTAAGCTGGCGAACGGCCATTTAATGCACAAAAAGTCAATAACGGAATTTCTATTTGAAGTCCCTGATAAATGGAAAGCCAATGCAGACGCCCACAGTAACAGGTGCAATCGGTCCCCTTTCGCAGAGTGCACGCTGGGTTTGCTTTGTTTCCCACTGACCGGCTGCCTCGACTTGCCAGGCCACTACGCCCTGCAGGGCCACGGCGGCGCGGTGAGCTGCCTGCTGTACCCGCACGAGGCGGCACGGCGCTACGACTCGCGCTGGCTCATCTCGGGCGCAGCCGACTTCTCGGTGCGCCTGTGGGACGTGCTCAGCCAGGAGCTGCTGTGCGCCTTCCATCCACACGCGGGCTCCGTCACGCAGCTGCTGCTGCCGCCCGATAACTGCCATGTATGTACGCATGCGTCGTATCGATGATGTACGTGTTGCGTTGTACGTATGATGAACTTCTTTCGCACCGTACGTAGCCAACCGTGCTAATCAGAGGTGCGGGGTGGGGGGGACAATGTGCATTGCATCTGTGCGTGCGCGTGTGCACGGGGGAGCGGTGAAGTGCAGTGGTTAGCGCGCTGTGCTCCGAGAGCCGGCGACCCTGAGCTCGAATCCCAGTCACAGCCAACATCGGTGACAATTGTCTGCCCTAGTCCTGGGCCTCTCCGCTAGGTCGACTTAGCCTAAAATGAGTACAATTTGTAAACATCAGCATGAGTGAGACAAAGGCGGCCCGGTGTGGTGCTGACCACCCATCCCTCTCATGTGCCGTGCTAGCCTTAATAGATGCTCGCTAACAGCACTGCCCAAACAGTCTGTTGAGGCTATATCTTTCCTTCCGCACGCTTGCTGCATGTCAGCCTCTCTGCTGGGTCCGCCCAGACTTTGCTTTGTGATTTTTTTAAATTTAGCAACAAACTGAGGTTGACTCTCGCATAACAACGACACATTAGTACTGCTACGATACGCAGCTCCGTGTCCAGCGTTGCAGGCGATGTTAAAAGCAGCACTGACTTCAATGTGAACATTATTTAAAGCATTATTAAATGTGCAAGCATTCCAACGTTTAGCTGACTACCATTTTTTGAGTTCATGTTTAAGTTTTATTTAACTTGATGATCTTTTCTTTCTGTTTCCTGGAGTGTTTTTCTACGAGTTTTGCACGCATATGCTGCCGTTTATTGCCACTTACTTTTTGCTCTTTTTTTACTTTTTCTCCTCGCGCCTCCTTGGGTGACACTTACCCAGTTGTTCCAATGAAAACTCTTAGAAGTAAGTTAAACGTGCAATCCAATCTTTCACATTCTACATTTATCTCACTCCCTTCCTCTTTTGCTGAATCTATTTCTCATTGAATGTTTTCAGTATTTCTCTTGGTCCTGCCCAGGTCCAAGTTTCACACCCTTCCATTGCTTGCCCTTACCGCCCATGCTACAACCATCACCTAGGGACACTGCCCCAGCCACTGCCCCTTGGTGAGGCCCTCTCGTTGTGGTGCATGTTTGTGTCTTTCTCGCTCTTCCTCCCGTAACACCCCACCTTGACCTTGTTTCCTCGCCTTCCCATTCCTCATCTTCAGATTTTTACCCCCAGAAATCTGTCCCTTTCCCCATACTTTTCCTTTGCCCCTTCACCATCCAACTATGCCCCCTTCACTCTCCAAACGAACCCTAGACCTCACACCATTGCCCTCTTGCACAGTTAGCACAGTGGGGAGCACAGGTGGTGCATCTGCCAGGCATCTCAGTTAGTCAACCCATGACACCTGCTGCATCTGTCCCGTGACCTCCTGCCAGCGAGCCTTCGACACTTAACGGGGCCCTAAAGTGCACATAGCCTGGCACAAGCGCCGTGGTTACATCACCACCACTTAGTGGTGAATGGCGGTGGTTGTCGTTGCACAGCAGTAGTGTAGTGCGCACTGCGCTACGAACCCGGCGATCCCAGTTTGATTTGCGCTTACAGCCAACATCCGTGATGGATATCTGAGGTTGACTCAACCTAAAATGAGTGCCTGGTGCGGTGGTGTAAACATCACTGCTCGGGAGACAAAGGCGGGCGGGCGTGCTAACCACACCACTCCCTGTTGGCCGTCTTGTAATGTACGTTGAACCTCTTTCGCATCGTACAAAGCCAGCCGCGCTAATCGGTGTTGCGGGGGAAGGACATCAAACCAAACGGAACTTTCCCCAGCAGCCTGTATGGCTGTAGAGGGACGGGGGGGGGGGGACCTTTCCCTTTGTTGCGCGCGTGCACCTCGCAGGAGACGGTGCTGCGGTGCGTTTGCTCCGTGGCGTCGGACCACTCCGTGGCCCTGCTGAGCCTGACGGAGCGGCGGTCCCTCCTCCTGGCGTCGCGTCACGCCTTCCCGGTGCAGGCCGTGCGCTGGAGGGCCGCCGACGACCTGCTGCTCGTGTGCTGCTCCGACGGTTCACTCTACGTCTGGCAGATGGACAGCGGTGAGACGACCCCCTCGGGGTCGACCGATAGAATCGCCTTAGGGAGTGGAAGAGGAGGAGGGGGTGCGGGTGAGCATGGCAACAGTCAAGCTGTCCATTAGGCAGTGGTTGTCTCGTGCCTCTCACCCATCAGCAAAAACCTGTGGCTGTCTTGGGGCCCCTGTGGCTTTGAAAAGGGCCCTAAGAAACGCCTCGAGCTAGGTTCGCGAATACGTGGCTTGTTTGCTTTAAACAACAACAAAAAAACGTCCGTAAAATCGTATAATGCTGTATATGTGTGTGTCACTGCATATGGCTGTGCAGTTAAAAAGTAAAACAAATAGAACATATTTTCTGACACCAAAATATAACCAACAGAACTTCCAGGCCAATATTGTACGATTTCTATTGGCGGCTGTGCAGTACCACAGCTTTGATCAGTTGTGTGCTCTTGGCTCTCGTCAAAAGGCTATCGTTACGTTGCATAATGCGCAGTGTAAAATTGAATTTATTGAACATATTGATTTCAGGGCCTGTCAGTAGGATTTGATTGATTTCTATTTTTCTTTAGTGTATGCATCTTAACTTTTGAGTAATTCAATCCGTGGAGACATCGATATTGTTATTTATTTGTTTGTACACAAAAGCATCGTTGAGAATCAAGAATTCTGTTGTGATACTGCTCGGATTTTGCTCCAGCCTTTTTTAAAAATAAAATCTATTTTAAAATGTGGGATATACCAGAGTTACGAAAGAAATCTCGCGCACATGAGGAGATAACTACTGAAACGTCACCAAAGTTTCCGTACCAAATAAAATCGGTTGCCTAACTGCGCTGGCAATGGCGCACAAATCACGAGCAACAAAAAATCCAAGCCATTTGTCATGAGCGTTGCCCTAAAAAGGGAAAAGCGATGTCAGAGGCATTGTGGGTAATGTTTTGAGAAATGGCCCTTCTTCATAGCAGTGGACGAATGGCCATTGCACAAAATGTCACCTATTATATACTTTTTTACCCCTTTTTGGAGCAATGTTTTTGAAGAATGCGTTGAGTTTTTTTTGTCATTTGAACGTTCTGTGCCGCTGGTCCCGATAGTGGTAACATTGATACCAAACCTACATTACGATTGTAAAGTCTCCTTTTACAATTTGAGGACTCCCTCTCCTCCTCGCTGCTACCTTTGTCAGAGTAAATGTCATGTCTGGACAGGGTCGACCTGAGGACCCGATATCCCTCCCGTCTCTTCTCACCAAAGACACCCAAGCCCAGAGCACTTATGAAAACCAGGCAGGTGATCTTGTCACGGCAATCAGCGGTGGATTCATTGTCTTCAAATATCGCCCTCAAGTTAAAAACAGCACCGAGCCAATAAAAAGAGATTTGTTGAAAAGTGTAATTAATGAAAAAACCATTGGTCTGTAGACTGCACATTACTCTGAAGAAACGTCTTAAGAAACATGGGATACATTGTGGAAAAAAATGAAGCACAGTTTTCTATGATGGTTTGCTTGGCAGCAGTGGTAAATAGTAATTATTGTTCCTACATGATTACTATGATTAACACTGCACTGTGTACGTTCAGCTTTTACATATACCCCATATAGACTTTGTCATTGAATCAGTCATTATTCAGTCATTCAATCATCAATATCATATACTCTATATTCAGTGTTAACAACAAAATAGCAATATAAAGATCGGTTATCTAAGAAAGGATACAAAGATGTTCTCCTTTATCCGCTGAGATCCCACTTGCGCACTGAATTGACACTGACATTTTTCAAACGAAGAGCGCTCAACCTCAGGTAGTCACGTGACCTTTGCTGTGAACTCATTGGAAGTTGCCAATCACAGCTGCCCAATTAGGTGGAGGGGTGATCTGATTTTTACTGCACATCTATATGTTTTTGACAATAGAAAATAGTTCAGTAATTATTTCTGTAACAATTTCCCTAAAATGGCCATGGTTTATTTTGACCTTTAGCTCACCTCTTGTACAATTCAGACACGTGGGTGCATTCCCTGGCTTTGCACGGATGTGGAGATTTATATCTGAACCTGGAGTAAAGCTTTCCCAGAATGCTTCGTGGTATTCTCTAGAAGGTAAAGGCCTAATTGGTGCTCCTAAGCAGTGTTTTCTGCAACGATATTTAGAGGCTTAAAGAGGGTTTCATTTTTTTTGTTCGCGTCTTGCAAAGTGTCCCGGGTGAACGGTTTGATTTGCAAGAGTGACCTGTTTGCGGCTATTTGTTTGTAAATATAGGACATACGGTATATTTGCTGCCACTGATTAAGGGCCTGTAATATTGGTAACATATTCCTTGACACATAAAACAAAAACTCTTTGATGAATGCATTTGTATCACATCTTGAGATTTAGTGTATTTAGAAAGTAGCATGTGAATGTTGTATAAATAGATGTAAATTTCATTGTATTTTACATTATTTTACGTTACGTATACGTGCCAAAATAGGTGAAGAGTCTTCTTGCTCAAATGAGCGGTGATGCAGCTCTCATCACAGTTGGTGGCCCTTCGCCTGGAGTGAAAATGTCGCTGGGGCCTGTTCTAACCGTGGGTCAATCGCTGTTGACTTCCCGCAAAGTGGTAGCTATTTTATCGACCCAGGACGGATGATAGGCGATGTCAACCCTCAAGGAGGATTTGAACTCACGGCTTCATAATTGTCAGTCAAGCGCCGCTCAAATTCCAGCACGAGTCGGGTGGAGTTCATGTGGACACTCGTATGAATGTTGGAATGTTTAGAGCACTGCATATGTTGTCATGTATGTGGTGTGGCAGTGGAAATGGCTGAGAGATTGATGGGGGTCCTATTAGTGGCTCCCAACATGGGCCACAAAACCCACAAGGTCACCCCTTGCACACAGCGAAGAGACCTCGGTCTCCTTGACCCCATAAGTCACTGGATGGGAAGATATCACACCTTGCCCTCATTGATTTATGTTTCCTTAAACTTGTCATTTTAGCCTGAAATTCACATTCCCTAAATAGAAGAGATGAAAGAGGTGACTTGAAGGTCGCCTTGCCTTTTTCCCTGGTGTTCATCGCAACCAGATACTCTGTATTGTGTTTATTATTTATTAACCTTAAACATTCTTCTATCAATGGAAGCATACTTGTTTCGTCGAGTAAGGCAGACGCGTATTTGACATGGTCCATCACAGTTGCCCCATTGGGTGGAACAATGATGAACTAATTCCAAATGCATTTTTTATGCGTGTTTGAAACACAATATTTATATTGGCCTCCTGCATATGATCCATCCAGAGTTTATGCAGGTTGGGTTTTGTAAAGAACTCACAGATTCTTGAAACATATAGATAGAAGCCCATCAGTGGGTTCGCCCGGCAGGCTTGCCAATGCTGGCTGGTTCCTGCGGTCCTATAGGCTTAGCTAAGTGCCCAAACAGCTTGTCCTGGCCAGATAGAGGAAACAAAATATCATGGTATAGGTTAGATACCAAAAAAAAGGCTGATGTGGTCACAAGATAAAGTTGCAGTTGAATGGACTCGGCACTGGCTAGTGCCAGTGATGTCGGGAAGCTTGCGAATGATATGGGCAGTTGGCAGCGGCCGACCTCCATAAAAAAAGAAGACGCCGATGAGTGATACCCCAACCATAATAAACAGAACATTGAGCGGTACATGTCGCGGCGTCCAGTGGCTGAATGGGACTTGTGAACCCATTACATAGAATATGTAAGATTAAAAAAACATTGAACTTTGATCATCGATATTAATTGATGAATCTATGCATCGTTTTACTTAGGCAGCTTATCTGCACATTCCCCTGATCTTGAAACCCGTAACACCTGGGTTCATCCATGACCTCTTGCCAGCAAAACCTTCACCACTTCACATGGCCTCACTCAGCCTGCCTTGTCTACCTTGAGAGCCTGACCCATCGCTTGGTGGCCGAGAGTGGCTGCTTTGTTGCCTGAGCGCAGTTTTACCATTTCTACATCACACGACATCGGGATCAATCAGAAAGGTTCACTCTTTCATCACGGCGTAACGTACGCACTTCACGTACACCGACCTGCGCACTTCCACATTTGCCAAATTATATTTCCCTTGCATGGTCATGTATTTGGTTACTCTGCTAGACGGCTAAAATCTTAATTAGTGTGGTGTTTAATAGTGTGACTATGTATAAATTGCCTCCCTTTTGCCTGCTGCAAAGTCTGATAACGTTCGTCTTGTCTTTATCGTCGCTCTTTGCATCTCGACAAATGATCATGTTTGTGCTTTTGTGTATCCTGTGCGTATGAGTGTATCCCTGTGTTTCCCAGTGTATTCTGCTGTGTGTGTTCCTGCTTGTTCACTTGCGCTTCTCTCTGCTTGAGCCACCTGAGCTCCCATGGATTGCATTCCTTTGTGCCTTTCTTCCCTTGGGGTTTCCTGCACTTCATGATCAAATGCATCCATCTCTTTCATTATCTGTGATAAAACTACTGTATCCACCAGCTCACGTCCTCTTCGTGCGTTGTGCTCTTAATTCTGTGAACCCAAAAAAATCGGTTCAGCTAACCAACCCATCCTGCAGATTTTTGCCATCAACGTGTTTCGTTATGTCATGAGTATTTCATTTTAAGCAAGTCAAAATTACTCCAATGGCAAGCGACGCTTTGGATACAAACCCACACGTTTAGGATGTTGCTTTGTGCCAAATCTATTCCCATTTTGCTTGTAATTAAAGTGCACTGCCCATGAGTAATGATTTAATTGCAAAATCAATGAGAGATAATTATTAATTAAAATTGTATGAATTGCTTAATCGCATTACACACACGCAAAAAAGTGGAAAAGTTCTGTATCTTGTACATTTCCTGTTTCAAACAGTGTAATCAGACGTTGCGTTTCTTTCAGTGTTTAGAAACATGCAACTAAATGTGTGCGTCATGAATTGAACATTTCGAATTGCTTTGTAAAAGAAATCTCACGTAGAAGAGCAAAAGTCCACAATAACAAGGCCCACTGCGGCCACTGACTGCTCGCACG